AGATTTCATTTTTACCAAGGATTCACAATTAACAAGAGGATGCATGAGGCCAATTCATCAATACTTTTAGTTATTGATATTGTTATTCGTCGGTAATCCATACACTTCCAGATTTTCCCCTGGAGAACTTCTCCACAATCAACAGTGAGGACAAAAACGGACTTGAGTGAATTAAAAACTGAGCCAAGTGCAAATCCTTGAGGTCTGTTAAGGACATCTCCACACATCCCCCTTTGCTTCTCTGAGCGTTCCAGTAATCAAGCAAATTTGGGAAAATAAACAGCACCGGCGCAGACTCCATAAACACCGCAACAGCTCGGTGATGGACAGAAAACACAATGTCCCCACATATTACTGTTTCCAGTCCCGCACAAAGCCGGCTCTGTTTGCATCGGACAGTTTGTCAGTGTTTAAGGCAGCTCAGAGTTTCGCGCCGCCAGCAGCGTGTCTGCTAACTGCAGGGGCCAACTATCATCATTAGGGCGTGCATCTCCATTTAAAGTGAATTTGCAGCTCTCGACACGAGCGACCCGGCCGATAGACGGCATGGCATCATCTGTATGTCCGACTAAAGGCGGTCAAATTCATGAGACGGCGGCGCCGAAGTGCTCCGTGCAATAAAGATGACAGCAAAGCGTAGCGCACTGTCAAGTGGAATGCGTATTTATGTTTGGGCTGCCAGAAGCCATCAAACATCGAGATACTAAGATAAAAACAAAAGCGTCACGATGGACAAGATTTACAGACGCTGTTGAAGACCTCCATAAAATATTTACACAGGACCAATCTGCCCCAAGACAATGGAGCATATCGGCGGAACTGGAAAGTGTTGCTAATGGGACAAGACAACCAAACGGGCCATTTTATTTTGAATGAGACCGGTCTCCAAAGAGCTCAAAAGTCGTGAAAGTTCTTCTAAATAGTCTTGACAACCGTCACGATTAATAGGACGTTGAAATTACAGCCAAGTAACAGTTCCAAACGTCAACAGACCAAGCGGGTGGTTGGCATAATGCATCAGGTTCAGTGACTTTGGACTCCAGCGGGAGTGGGAAGCTTGTTTTACATGATCGTGATCATCAACCAAAAATGTCTTGCTACATGGCTGCAGCGCTGTGGAAAAATGATTTACCCCCTTTTGGATTTTTTTTTTTTCATTTCGTTGCATATTTATCACTTAAATCAGTGTTGTCAAGATCATTTTTGTTGCCACATTGTTGGTTGGTTTCCTTCAGCGGGCTGTTATGACTGAAACCATCGAAATATTCGGTGACTCATCATGTTACAGTATTACATGTACACAACAAATTCATGGCTAGCTAAGCTTGAAATCCAAATTGATGGCTAGCTAGTCTTGAAATCAGAAGTCAAGGATAATAGTTTGTTCAGCTTACTGTTAAAAAAAGGGAGGTTAAAATAATCTTGCAATATTATTCACTCCATTTGACGATTTGACCACTTCCTTCTGAGAATGTGCGGTTTGAAGGCACACAATGGCGAGTGACTGTTCATCAATTTTTAAGCGCCCCCTTGAGCCCCTGATGTCAACACGAGAAAAGCATGGCGAAGAGGACTGTTTAAATTCCAGTTCTAATTGAAGCAAGAAAATGTCTTGGCCGTTGCATACATCAAACACCTGTTGTGAATTTTGCCATTTCGCGCCTTGTCAGAGAACAGAAAGTTAGCCAGTACTTCAACGCTGGACAGTTGGACATGTGCATTCAAAATTAGTTTCACCTGGAAAGGAGTTTTTTTTTTCTTTTTTTTTTTTTTTTTTTTTTAACGTTGGCAACAATGTTTCATCAATTATCAGAAACCGTTGATGAAAGTTGGGAGTATAAAAAAAAAAAAACATTACTCCTGAGTCCTGTTGTAAATTAAGCTGCAAGGGATTGGCCCCTCCCTTTGGGGGAAAAAAAAGAGGGGTAACTGCTAATTACAAAGCTAAGTCATAGAGGAAGTTTAAGGATCCCCGATGGCCTGTTTACCGTCAGTGTTTGTCACCTGGGCAACGCAGTCAGTGGAAAACCACCAGTGACCACGCGGATGTTCGTGTGCAGCGATCTCATCGGGGCAGGTTTGTTAAACTCTGCATCAGGCAGGACAGCATCCTCGGATGGGAACCAAGCATTAACAAATTAGAAAAGACACAGACCACCGTCGACGAGGGCCAAGAGACCCGCTTGTTTTCGCCGCACATTTGGGGTCCACAACAATAGCTTAATTTAGATGCAACGGACCAGAAAGATTCTCGCTGTTTGGCTGGCGACCGATGTGGAGTTCCCAGATTACTTTCCCGCCGGGCAGACATTTGTGAATCCTTTTTGATCCACACCGTTCTCCACACAAATGAACGGAAAAGGTGAACACTCTGGCAGTCAGTGAGTGCGTCAGTCATGCTTTGCACAGTGCATCGTGAAACAATTCACAACACTTAACTGTTTCCACATTTTGTTTTTACATACCCTT